TTGTGCTCACATCCCCAGTAGGGGGTGTGCAAGAGGCAACTGATCGATGACTCTCTCACCAATGTTTCTAACTCTATCTCTCTCCCTTCCTCTCTGTATAAAATCAATTAAAAAAATATATTATAAAAAAAAAAGTGGGGGATGAAAAGGCTGCCAGGAACACATGCATGGGTCCTAGTGACATATGGGCTTCATTGCAGAAAGATCAAGCCAAGGATTACTTAGAGATCAGCATCTTAATCTTTCCTCTATGTCTGAACAGATATTTCAGATCTGATTCTTTCAATTTTCTAGGAGGGAGGAGGTGGGGGACAAATGCCTGGCTCTCATTCTCAGGGAACTAGGAGGGAATCACACACATTCTTCCTATTTTCCATTCTGAACTCTGTACTCAATAGTACTTGCCATCGCTTAGTCAAGAAACCCCTCTGCTTTACTCTCTCCAGAGAACAAACTAACTGGATGGGCATTCACTTAAGAAGGGTTCTTGAGTTTTAACAGCTTCTTAACTGGCTTTCAACCAATTCTACTCATTTTAGTAGTATTCTTCCCTTTGCCTCCACTTAGGTACCAGAGACTGCTAATTCCTTTTAAAGCTCCTGCAGTGCTCACTGGATTGGCTCTTGCTTTCCCATTGCTGGAATAGGATAAAACTACTCACTCAGTCATCCTTTAGTGCTCTCCACAACTGAAACAGTTCCCCAGTTAATGTGGGGAGCAAACCAAAGTCCCTTTATAGTATTCTTAATGGGGTTTTAGAAAGAAGTCAAATAAGATGTGCTTATTTAATCACCTACCTTTCTGGAATCTTTTTTTTTTTAAATTTTTTATTTATTTTTATTGTCCCTAAATGATTCAAGTCCATCTGAAACAGCTGCTCAAATACAAAATAGGCATACAGTTGTGAGTATGCAAAACACTTTATTTTTGTATTATCATTTATTGTATTATTTTCCATACAATTAACTATAAACCTACTTTAGCCTAACTCTGTATGTTGGTGACTCTGGGCAAATATTGAATAGTTTAAATGTGCATAATAGGAGCCAAAATGCCTGTACTTCATATCACTTGAATGTTGTTAAAAAAATAGGCAAAATGTGCACCCATTCAAGAAGAATGTGCTATGTCAATCTATGGTTTATTGTTATTTTATTACAGGAAGACACTATTTCACTAGCAGTAAGGTGAGTGTTTTTCCATCTGAGATGATGCACTGTATGATGATCTCTCCTTGTCCTCCTTGTCCCTCATTTACAAGTCAGCTATTGGATTAGTAATACAGTGTACAGATTTATGTTTCCCCAAGACAGGTGATCATCAATTCACTTAAATGAAATGTAATAAAATAATTGACTACAGCTTCCTTATCTTCTAACCAAAGCAATGAAGAAGATGTGCTGTTTGGGTATGTGCTGTTGATGTGTGTGCATAACTGTGTATGCACTTTTAATATAAATATTTTATATCTCCTTCCAGGCATCCATATTATGATAATAGCAAGTTAGCAGACAACGCCATACAGAAGAGACAGGAAATTAATATTCTTCAGAAAAGAGGAAATTAGATACTACTTGAGAGGGTGAGGCATTCAGCTACTAAAAACAAAACAAAAAATCACATACCTTTTGATTTAACACAGTATTATAACCTTCAAAGTGCTTGGTAAATATCAAGCTTTCTTTCTTCTTCTTTTTTTTTAAATTTATTATTATTATTTTTTACATATTTTATTGATTTTTTAAAAATATATTTTATTGATTTTGTACAGAGAGGAAGGGAGAGAGATAGAGAGTTAGAAACATCGATGAGAGAGAGTCATCGATCAGCTGCCTCTTGCACACCCCCCACTGGGGATGTGCCCGCAACCAAGGTACATGCCCTTGACCGGAATCGAACCCGGGACTTTTCAGTCCCCAAGCCGATGCTTTATCCACTGAGCCAAACCAATCTCGGCAAGCTTTCTTTTTATACCTTCAAAGGCTTAAAATATCACACAGGTAGGGTACAGACCCCTTGCAGCTCCAAAATACTTTAATTATAATTATAAAGCTATAAATGGTATTTAGTAAACCTGGATTCTAGTCCCAGCTCTTTTTCAAAGTGGGTGTGTGCATGGGACAGTCAGGCCTGCCTGGAATATTTATCTATGAAACAGTCATTCTATCACTCTTTCACCATAGATCGCTGGCAGAGAGCAAAAGGAAATGAATCAAAAGTAATTTATTCATTTACACAATTTAAATGTATTCTAAATCCTAATGTCAACATTTTTTTATCTGGATGCCAGAAAAAATTTAGTCTGAATATCCATCAACTACATGGAAATCTTACCTTTATTAGTAAAAGTATCAATTTTATCAAGCTATATAGTAGTTAAAAGTACATTTAATGTAAATTTATGATAAATTTACATTAAATATATGATAATGTGAAAAGACATTAAATTTACATTAAATGTGCCATACTTTCATCTCAAGTTGTTAGGTAATATAAGACTACCATCTAAACCAGTTTTTTTAATTTTATATTTAGATTTAAATTTTTAATGAAAGGACTTTTTGGGTGGGGTATAAGGTATAGAATCATGCTCTTTATATTTTATATTTCAAGTGATCAGGATTTCATCTGTAAAACAAAATTATTTTTGTAAAATATTTCATTATTTGTCATATTGGCCAGTCATAAAATGAGCCTTATTGTATTGCAGCAACTTGATTTTTTTACCTCACTGAAGGATGTTTTAATAAATTAAGGTGGAAATTAAAATGGTTTCAAGAATAGAATGGAAAGGAGAGGATTTCACATTCTACTCAGAACTACCATAATATATTTATGGAGTAGGATTTATGTATGATCAGCATGCTTTGAGCTATGGTGCCTTGGTTCAAATCCTGACTGTTGCCGCTGTCTTGCTCTGTGCACTCTAGCCATGCCATTGAACTGGGTGTCCACTGGCTCACTTCAAATCTGTTGTGAGGATAAAATGAAGTCAACACAGTATACTAAAAAGAATAAAGGAAATCAATATACAAATGGTACCACTGTGTCTAATTACCTCAATTATTTAAGTGCCTGCATGGGATTGGGAAGACTGGGGTCCTACTCTTATTTTATCCCATTAGTTTCTCTAAACCCTGTCCTATCTTTCACACAGGCCCAAGGATATCTATACATTAGCCCACCTACTTCACCATCACCGGAAATAACCTCCTTATTCATCTCTCTCAGGCCTTGCTTTCCAATCAGACAGGGTATTTGTCATAGCATGTAGATTCAGGACATAATTCTACTTCTTGTGTACCCTGTATCAAGATTTTCCTCTCGGGAGGCCACGTCAAGAACAGAAATCTATGGGGAAGCTAAGGATGCACGAGCAGATCTGAACCACAGCTCTCTGAAGGTTTTCTAAGCCTACAGGTGGGAATTCCTCCTAGCCCATGGCCACCGAGCAGATGCAGTCAGCAGCTCTCAGAAGCACAGAGCATGGCATGCACTGTGTGAGGTGTCGTTCTCCAGGTCTTCTCGCTGGATAAGCGCCTGAAAATGTCAGATAGGTTTTCGGGGGCGAGAAAAGAACGGAACATTTCTAATCACAAGTGCGGCGCTACTGTATCTGACAGGAGAAACTGACTAGGGGGTGGGGCCGGCTTTCACCGAGTGCTCAGCATTGCTGGTCTCCGGTCAGGAAGGCGGCCATGGACTGGGCTCTGGCGGAGTAAGGGCTTGCACTCGGGGAGGGCAGACACAGGAGTGGCGTTTCTGCGACGTGACAAGCCCCTCGCAGACATGCACCTCGGCCACATGCACCCATCCCTCGGGCATTTTCTTCCCCTATCCCCGGCCTTAAAAAGGAGAAAAAAAAAGCGCGCGCCCGGGAGGGCCCATTACCATCCTGCAGGATGAGGGTGGGCTGCACCGCCTGCACTCGGAACTGCCGGGCCCTCCAGCCGGGGCTGGGCGCCCGCACCACCTCGCTGTCGGACAGCCAGGTCACCGTCTCAAAGTTGTCCCCGCGGGCCAGGGCCTCGGCCTCGGCGTGGTGCACGGCCACCCGGTCGAACTGGTAGAGGCCCCCGGAGTGGTCGAAGTGCACGTGGGTGGCCACGGCCAGCAGCGGCCTGCACGCCGCGTGCTCGCGGGCCGCTCCGTCCTGCAGGAGGCCGGCGGCGTGCAGGTACTCGGGGAGGCTGCGCAGCCCCAGGCCCGTGTCGATCACCACGTCCTGCTCCGAGCCGCGCACCAGCCAGATGTTGGCGCGGTTGCCGGACTCGTAGAAGCGCTCCTGGATCCAGAAGATGCCGTCGCCCAGCGACTTGTGGGCGTACCATTCGAGCGCCGACATGCTGGGCAGCGGAGCGGGTGCAGGGCGGCGCGGGAGCCTCCCGCCGGCCGGCCGGGCTCGGGGCTCTGCGGCGGGCGGAGGGGGCGGTGTGCCCGCAGCCCGGGAGGAGGCTCAGAGCGAGCGAGGGGGGGCCGGGGGGCTGGGGCTGGGGCGGGGAGCGAGGGATCGGGGTGGAGCGGGGAGAGCTAGGAGGAGGGAGGAGGCGCGGAGACGCCGCCCAGAGCGCCCGCCGCGCTCTCCGGCCGGGTCCGCAGGGAGCGAGCGGAGGCTGCCCGCCCGCCCGCCCGCCCCGGGCGCCAGAGCCAGCGCAGCCCCCGGAGCCGCAGCGCGAGGGGGCGGGGCCGCCGGGGCCGGGGCCGCCAACGGGAGATGGGAGGGCGACACTCCCCCCGCCTAGGGGCCCCCCGACTGCGGAGGCCCGAGCCGGATGCGGGGTGCGTCGCGCCCGCCCACCGCCGGCTCTGCCGGGCGCGCTGGCCGCCGGCGCCGCAAGGGTCAGGCCCGCGGGGAAGAGCGACTACGGAGCCTGCGGAGGGCTAAACTGCGCAGCGCGGTGGGCGGGGCCTGGGAGGGGGCGGGCGGGGCCTGGGAGAAAGAGGGCGGGGTCCGCCCGAGTGGGCGGGGCTACCTGGTGGGGCCGGGAGCTGGGCTCCAGGCCGCGTGGAGGGAGGTTCGGCTCCCGGAACCCGCGTTGTTTGGAGCGGAGGCGCCGTGGGTCCGCCTCGGCTCTCCGCCCGCCGCGCTCCGGCCGCACGCGTTCGCCGGAGCCTGGGTCCTCAGGGAGCAGGTAACAAGGAACCACGGAGTCCTGTGAGGGGATGGAGAGGGTGGGGGAGAGGTAAAGGGGCACATGGAGAAGGTGGGGGGGGGGGGAGCGGGAGGCTGCGGTGGAGGTTTATTAAAGCGCCTCTGGGGTTGAGGGTGGTTGAGAGGTAGCTTTACCTCGAATCCCTTCGGAGCCTTTTAAAAATCATCGTTTGCAGATCTTAACCTCGTCTCCTCTTCCCGGGGCTGTTTGCCCTGAGTTAGGAAGGAATGTAGGCTCTTACTGATGGTAGGTTTTCAAGTCCGATGACTAGGCGATTGATTCAGGCAGGAATCATTGCCGCGGACTTTTCTTCACTGTAGGCGTTTTATCCAGTGTCAGGATAAGGGTTTTCTTCCCTTCCACAAACAAACAAACAAACAAATTGTTGATAAGGGGTTTCTTCTCTTCAATAAATAGATAACAAATAAATAAATGAATAAATAAAAATAATAAATAAATTTTTTATTCTTCCTTCACCCTCCTTTTTTTGTTTTTTGTTTATTCAATCTTGAAAGAGAGCAAGGGAAGTTGGTAGAAAGGTTCAACTAAGGAGAGTGAAGGCAGCCACACTTGGTGAGGACAGAAAAAGTGGGTAATGACTGGGTGTAGCCCTGCCAGCCACAAATATCACTCCCACCATGAACACTGGGTCACTCTTCCCGCCCTGCACTTCCCAGCTGTCGAAGCATCCATGTAGTCTTCAGAGATTCTCTTGAGAACTTGACTAACCTCCAGAGTCAGCCAGGAAAAATTGGAGACCCATGAGACAGCATTATAAGAGGTAATTAAAAACCCTTATCGTGGCATCTACTAATAAGCCTTCATACAGGCATAGGTGTGCTCTCCTTCCCTATCCTCCTAAAGCCTTTGGTGGAGATGCAGCCTTTTTTTAAAAAAGTATTTTCCCAACCCAGTTAGAATTTTCCCGCTCTGTTCAGGCCTATCCTCTGTGCAAGTCCCTGAGCTAGATGTGTGAACAAAGTCATGATCTGGGTTCCTAAGAGTTTGAGGGAAGGCAGTGGGGGGTGTAAAATCTCTACTGTTAATACAGTTGAAGAAACAAACAAAAAATGTAAGTGAAACTCCTTCCCTTTGGAAAAGGCCTATTTCCCAAAAGGGGCATGTCTGTATGTCTTCCAGAATTGAGTTGTGTACCAATATGTATCACCTCAAGTTTTAAACATGATCTTGGGGGATCTTTCCAAGAGCAAGGTGGGGTGAAATGACTCTTGTGGATGTTAAGGGACTTAAACTGGATTTTAAGGTGAAAACAGATACAGCCAGCCAGGGAGGAAGAGGGAGTGAGTTGAAGTGGAGAGAATGGTAATTAAGCCATGATTACAGAAGACTGAGTCAGCAGGGCAGGTGCCACCATCTTAAAAGGGTTTTGAATACTCAGGTAGTTTGGATTTAATTCTCTAGCCAAGAGGGAAGAAGAGAGAAGCATAATCAGAACTAGGCTATATATATATATATATATATATATATATATATATATATGAATAAAAACTGTTGAATAATATGGAAGAATAAATTAAACAGGAAGAACAAAGAATACCACAAAATTTGCAGTTACCCGTATTTTCCGGCGTATAAGACGACTTTTGAACCGAAAAGAAGTCAACCGAAAATCGGGGGCAAAAGACCAAAATTGCACAAAAATTACCTGCAGATCTTGACAGCAAAGTAAGTCTTTTCTTTGAAGTGGGGGGTAGTCTTATACAGCGAATATAGGCCTAAACCTATGTTTTAACTGTAAAATTAGGGGGTTGTCTTATACGCCGGAAAATATGGGTAATAAGAAAATGAGGTGGGAAAGGGCTGAGCTGGTTAATGGTAGAAGAAATGAAAAGGCAGGGACATTGAAGGAAGAATTGAATGATTTGATAGGAGGTGTGGGACAGAATGAGATGGAGTAGACATAATTACAGAGAGAAGTAACAACAAGTGCAGAGGGGAAAGCCAAACCGGTTTTGGCAACAGAAATTTATTATCTCATGGTCCTGGAGGCCAGAAGTCTGAAATCAAAGTGTTGGCAGGGTTTGTTCCTTTTAGAGGCGGAGGGAGTGAGTGTCTGTTCCATACCACACTCCTGGCTTCTGGTGTTTGCTGGCTTGCTGCTGCAGTGTTGCCTATCTGTTTCTACCTTTACGTGGTGTTTTTCCTGTGTGTATCTTTTTTTGTGTGTCCAAATTTCCCTCTTATAAGGATGCAGAGGACCCACCCTGGTTCAGTATGACCTCACTTTAATTTGATTACACCTGCAAAGGTTTTATTTCCAAACTAGAGGCCTGGTGTATGAAATGTGTGCATTCGACGTGGGTGTGGGGGGTGGTCCCTCAGGCAGGCCTGTGCCCTTTCCCAATCGGATATCCTTAGCACTACCGCGGAGGTGGGAGGGGCTCCGGCCAGCAGCTGCACCCGCCAGCCATGAGCCCAACCTCTGGCTGAGCTGCTTTCCCTCTGTGGGAGCACACTGACTACCAGGGGGCAGCCCCTGTGCTGATCGTCTGCCCTCTGGTGGTCAGTGTGTGTCATAGTAACCAATTCTTCCAGTCGGTAGATTTGCATATTAGCCTTTCCTGATAGGATAAGGAAAGTCACATTCAAGTTATCAGCAGTTAGGACTTGAACATACTTTAAAAAAAAATAATAATAATAAAAAGAAAAATATATATATATGTACTTTTTAAATTAAATTATTATCTTTGTATATTATTATCTTTGTCCCATACATGCCCTCCCTCCCCAGAGTTTTGTGTCCATTGGTTGTACTTATGTACATGTATACAAGTCCTTCGGTTGATCTCTTATCTCCCCCAGATCTCCCTAACCTCCCCGCTGTAATTTGACAGTCTACTTGTTGCTTTACTGTCTCTATATCTTTCTTTTAGTTCTTCAGTTTATAATGTTCTTTATCATCCATAAATAAGTGAGGTCATGTGGTGTTTTTCTCTTTCATTGACTGGCTTATTTCACTCAGCATGATGTTCTCCACTTCCATCCAGTTTGCTGCAAATGATGAGAATTTTTCTTTTTTATTGCAGCATAATATTTCATTGTGTAGATGTACCATAGTTTTTGGATCCAATCATCTGCTGATGGGCACTTAGGCTGTTTCCAAATTCTAGCTATTGTAGACTGTGCTGCTATGAACATAGGGGTGCATATATCCTTTCTGATTGGTGTTTCTAGTTTCTTGGGATATATTCCTAGGAGTGGGATTACATTTTCAGTTTTTTGAGGAAGCTCCATACTGTTCTCCACAGTTTAATATATATTTTATTGATTTTTTACAGAGAGGAAGGGAGAGAGATAGAGAGCCAGATACGTCGATGAGAGAGAAACATCGACCAGCTGCCTCCTGCACACCCCCTACTGGGGATGTGCCCGCAACCAAGGCATATGCCCTTGACCAGAATCGAACTCAGGACCCTTCAGTCCGCAGACTGACGCTCCACCACTGAGCCAAACCGGTTTTGGCTGAACATCCTTTTGGAGGGAACACAAAGAATAGATAATTTTATGTTACATATTTATTTACTTCTTTGTGTTCTTTCCTCCATTGAAATATAAGACCTGAGGGCAGCAACCAGTTTTGTTCCGTTCTGCTTGGCTTCTGCCAGTGTGCCTGGAAAGTTCAATATTGGTTGAGTGAATGACTCAATGAAGCTGTCCAATCTGAAGTAAAGGAAGACTTAGATAATGAGAAAATGGGGAAAGCAGGTTTAAAAATCCATTTATGTGAGAAAGAGTTGAAAAATAAAGCAATGTTAAGTCAACTTAAAAGATTTTAAAGATTGCTGCTTAGGCATTGCTTGTGAGCTATTTTTCCCATGAGTCAGTTGCCAGGGCCTCTCAGTCTGCAAGAGAAGAAAAAATGAATTTAGCAGTTTCTCCAGTTACAGGAGGACTGACTGACTCAGGATAACCAAACTAAAAAGGGATGGATTTGTAGGCCAGAATGCCATTTAATTATTAAGGGTGATTCAAGAACGAGGACTGATTTTTGTCTGCCAAGGGCAGTACATTCTCTAAAGATAGCACTTACCCAAAGGTTGCTTGATAAAAACAGAAGTTTAGAGGCAGCAAAGTTTGCTATTTCTCAAGTGATATCCCATCAAACAATGGTAGCTAATAAACTCCCTTTTTAGGGTGAGTTTTCTAACTACTTGCCAAGCCCCACCTCTGAAGATTCTGGTGTAGTAGGTTTGAGATCTTGAGGATCCCTTGGGACTCTGTTTAAGAAGACTTTCAGTTAGTGCTCCTGATCAGGCAAGTTTCATAGACATTGTCTACAATTGTTCTTAGTGGCAAATCCTGGGTGGAATTCCTCCTAGTGGTCTCAGCCAAGTCTGCTGGGCTCCCACAGTTCACTTCTTAGGGTAAAGGTGCGAGCCCTCCTGCTCAGCAATTTTCATACTTAGGAGGCCTCCCTTCCGTAAGCTCAGCGTCTGCTTTAATGACTCAGCAATTGAAACAAGGCCATTTGGATATTTTTCTTACTGTGGGCCACTGCAATGAGCTTGATTGTTAAAATAAGCACCTTTCCTTTGTGAATTGTGTTTCATAGTAACTAAATAGTGGATGAGAGGAACTGATTCCTGGTAGAATTTCAGTTAATACATTCTGAAAGAATGATAAAATGTGTATATCACCATATTGCAATCCATAAGGGAATAAATAAATGGATCTAGACTATGATCATCAATGACAGCTAAAATCTCAGGTCAAAACTAGGGGGAACTTTATACCAGATGAAACACACTGATAGCACCTGAGCCCACTGACCAGACCAGCACCTCACCGGGACAGACACTTCGTGTGCATCCTGATGTGATGCAGTAGGAAACAATCATCTCTTTCGTATCCTTGTAAAACAGCAAACCCCACTTTAAGTAAGCCTCTAGCCCACCTGTTTATAGAAGATACAGGGAACGGAAATCTGTTAAACCGTAGCTCATGTATGTAACGATTCAAATCCAAAATATGGGACAAGGTACAGCCTTGATTCTCTCAAATTGGGGTCTGTAAACTAGCAGCTCAAGAGAGTTTACAGGAAATGCAGATTCTTAAGCCCGCCCAAGGCCAACTGAATCAGAATCTGCAATTTAACAAGGAATCCAGGTAATTCACAAGTGCCTTCAAGTTGGAGAAGCATTGTATGTACAATGACCCCAGTTTTTAAAATAAATGACTAGAGAAAAGTGGGAGGGAACTCTTAATTTGGTATGGGAGGGCATATTACTGCTTTTTGAGCTCACAGGATTGAATGATAATCTTATCCATGGAAAAGGTGATTTTAAAAGAGGGAGTTAGCCCTGGCCTGTGTGGCTCAGTTGGGTGGGGCATTGTCTCTTACACTGAAAGGTGGAGGGTTCGATTCCTGGTTAGGGCACATACCCAGGCTGCAGGTTCTATCCCCACCTGGGAGGCAGCCTGTCGATGTTTCTCTCTCATATCCATGTTTCTCTCGTTTCCCCTCTCTAGAAAATCAATAAAAAAAAAAACCCAAACGAACATATCCTTTGGTGAGCGTTAAAAAATATATTTAAAGTGTGTAGTATAATCTTCACTACAGTCAAATGCAGAGCTGTGGTGAAAGATCTTTAGGGTAGGAATCCTGTTAATGCAGTGCCAGCTCAGTTGCCACATTATAATGTAAACATGCTTTAGACAATTCAGACATTCAGTACTGGACATTGAGTACTGTGACATCTCTACTGTCTCCAGAGTTGAAGAGAGTACAGTTTTATCCTGCCTTTAGCAGTGTTAATTTCAGGTGGTTTTCTCTGAACTTACTATGATTTTTTGCTTCGACAGTCATCTTCAGAGTCTTATTGAGCCCATTCCCATTTCTAAAGGGAGGACACTGAACGTCACATCAAGGATCTTTTATATAAAAAATTCTAGGATTAAAGAAATAATCAATTACAAGTTTTTGTTGTTGTTAATCCTCACCTAAGAATATTTTTTTTTTACTGGTTTTTAGAGAGAGAAAGAGAGAGAAACATCGATGTGGGAGAGGTGCATCAATTGGTTGCCCTCTGCATACTCCCTGACCAGGGCTGGGGATTGAGCCTGCAACCAAAGTATGCTCTTGACCAGGAATCCAACACACAACCCTTCTTTCCTCGGGCCATAGGTCCACTGAGCCAAACAGGCCAGGGCCATTTACAAATTTAAAGTATGTATGACTAATAGTCTTCGAGCTGAATGAAAAAGCAGTGTCTTCAGTCTGACCTTTGCTTGTCCATACTTTTACGTACATAAGAGATCTCGTTGCCACACCACCGAGGAGTGGAGGACGTTGCCTCAACTGGCTGTGCGGTGGTGGGGGCAGCATCCTGAAGGAGACCCGGGGTCGGTCTCCACCCAGGGCCTGGGTGAGGTAGTTGAGGCCATCGGCAAACATGACTACTAGATGTGAGGAGTTCAGGAATTCGAGTATCACATGCTCATTTCTTTACAAAATTTTGCCTTCCAGAAGTTTTTAAAATTGGCCATGCTACATAAGGGGTGAAGTGTATTTTGCTTTAAAACGTTGGTTTTATTTTTCATATGATCCAATAAACCTTACTCCTTCATTAGTGTCTTTCAGAGTTTCCCCACATTTCTGGTGTAACTAGTTCCAATGGCTGGGAATAAAGGAAGAGGACGTGCTGCTTATACCTTCAATATTGAGGCGGTTGGATTTAGCAGAGGTGAAAGGTTACCTGATGTAGTACTGAAACCACCCCCACTATTTCCTGTAAGTACATCAACAATGAGTTCTCGCAGCGTGCTTTTTCATGTTTCCGAGAAAATTAGAATTCTGTATAGGACTTGAATATGTGATATCATTATCATATCCTAAAGTGTAAGAAAGTAAGAGCATGTTTCACTTTCCTTTAAATATATCTACTGTTCTTCCTTGTGTTGTGGGGTCGAACCCTGGGTTCAAAATAAGACCACCGGAGGCTGATGATTAATTAAAAAGCAGGCAATGATGTATCAAAATAACTGGCCAGGACAGATGCGAGAGCACCACACGCAGGTGATCTCCACACAACTGCCCCGTTTCAGGGGTCAGAAGTCCCTTTTAAAGGTTCAAACCACAGGAATTTTCCTTTGTTCTAAATTCTAAATCTTAAAGACTACATTCTAAAGACTGGGTCAGCCCGCAGGGTCGTTGCTAGTCACATCCTGCTGGACATTGGAATGTGGCCCTATCCTGCAATAGCCTATAACATAGAAGCAGAGCTCAGCGGTTATCTTTAGTTTCTATCTCTGAAGGTTACTGAGTCAGTGGGAATTACTCTCCTGTGCTCCTGGTCCCAGGCAAGGGAAAATTGCCTTAGCCTCCAAGTCTCCACCTGAAAGCTCAGGTAAATAGCTCCCCCCACCCCCCCTCTGTTTAATCAGGTGCAAGAGCCAAACTAGAAGGGTTAAAATTCAAACAGCATTCAAACAGCAGTTTTTACTAAAGTAGGGTTGCCACTATGTTTCACTTGAATCTATTTTAGTTTTCTGATTCCTTTCTCAAAATACAGGAAACAAAACTAGATACATACATTTCCATGAATATGTTCAGTCCTGTGTGAACTAAGAAATATTTTTTAAAATTCATGTATCTTAGATTGCTATTATTGATATGTTATATGATTAAAATTATATATATATATTTTTAATAAATATATTTTATTGATTTTTCTTACAGAGAGGAAGGGAGAGAGATAGAGAACTAGAAACGTCGATGAGAGAGAAACATCGACCAGCTGCCTCTAGCACATCACCTACCGGGGATGTGCCCGCAACCAATGTACATGCCCCTGACCGGAATCGAACCTGGGACCTTTCAGTCCGCAGACCGACGCTCTACCGCTGAGCCAAACCGGTTTCGGCTAAAATAATATTTTTTAAAAGCAAAGGTTTTACAGTGGTCCTCAGTTCCCATCCTACCAGACTTTGACTTAGTGATTTTCTTTTCACCTTGCATCTATAGAATTTAATTTTCCTCCCTACTCTACCATTTGGCCTTTTTTTCTCCACTGAACTTTTTCTTTTGCTTTATTTCCTATTTTATTAAAGCAAATTTAAATTTTGTTACTGTTTCTCAGACGATAAATGCTTCTATTACATTTAGTGTTGCTTTTTAAATCTAATGAGTATGCTGCAGGCTTAATTGGCATAATGGCTAATGCTTTCACTTTATAGTTAGTCTAAAAAGTAAGCTTACATTTCCAGATGTGCATGCGTTGCAGTATAAAAAAACAAAAAAAATCATATATAACCAGATACACCTTCCAGGAATCTTTTTCCTATTTCAAAAGGAAAAGTTCTTGTTGAAAGATTGATGGCAGGAGAGGACCTGGGCAAGTATATCTGGGGATCTAGATACCTCACATAGGGAGTCTCTACTTTTTGCTCTTGATATTTTTTGCCTTTCCAATATTCACTACAACCAAAAAAAAACAAAGATAACTCTCTCAGATATAGGTATAATGCCACTTTATCTTTATTTCTTTTAAAACAGTGGGATAACTTCTAAACACTAGAACTGTTAGTATATACTGTTGTTTTATACATGGAATAAAACTGGAGTCCCTCCTACTGGCGAAGAGGCTTTTTGATGTCTCTCTACCCCTTTCCAACCACACTCTTCTCTCCCCCTAGCCTTCCCGGCCTCCTTGTTCCTTCCGGCATTTTCCTCTGCTGATTTCCCTGCCTGGAGCCACCTGTTCCCAAAGTCTTTGTAGAGATGGCTTCCTCATTTCACCTAGCTCTCTGCTCAAACGGGATTTCCCCGAGAGGTCATGCATGTTTATCCTGTGTAGGAACAGCCACCTCCAACCTCCGTGTACTACCTGTCACCTTTTCCTCTACCTTTCATAGTTATCACTACCCAAAATTACATATCATATTAACTCATTTGTTTACTTATTTTACTGTGTTTTTCACTCCTAGAATGTTAGTTTCCTGAGGGCAAGAACTTTGACTAGTTATGATGGTATCTGCTGTTGTCTAACCACGTCTGGCTTATAGTAGGCACTCAAAAAATTGTTGTAGAATTAATGAATACATTTGGAGTTAAATTTTGAAAATGTATCCTATACTTAGCTTCTGAATCCAGAAATGTCTTTACTATATGCCCTGAGGATCTACTTTGTTATGAATATGTGGGTGTTTGCCTGTAATTTTTAAAAATTGAAGATATAGTTTCAAACTCCTGCTTTTCATGTTCTGTGGGCTTACAGATTATTCACTTCTTCAATTTCTTCACTGTAAAATGGGAAATATTGATGATACTTCAAATGAGATCACGGATGTTGAATATTGAGTACATCCTAGTCATAGTAACCATTTGCTAAATGATAGCTGCTACTATTTTTTTTTAAAGCTTTATTGGTGCTATATATAAGTTTTTATATTGTGTTTTAAAATATATATATTTTATTGATTTTTTAAAGAGAGGAAATAAGAGGGATAGAGAGTTAGAAACATCGATGAGAGAGAAACATCCATCAGCTGCCTCCCGCACCCCCCACCCCCAATTGGAGATGTGCCCACAACCAAGTACATGTCCCTGACCAGAATCTAACCTGGGACCCTTCAGTTCGCAGGCCAACGCTCCATCCACTGAGCCAAACCGGTGAGGGCAATAGCTGCTGCTCTTTTTTTATGCTACTGCTCCAACCAATTCTACCACCACTGTTGAGGTTATTAGAAAATAAAAGCAGTTACTCTCATTTGGTCGCCTTGATCTTTAAAATATGAAATCACATAAACAGACTGTATAGCAAAATAATTATTTTGTCATTAGGAAAATTAGGGCCAATAGAAAAATTAAACATCTTTCCTACCTCTAAAATAAGAGCAAATGGGCTAAAAGATTAAATAAATTACAAAAACTCAACATCTTTTAAGTTGATTGTTAAGCTTATTGCCTATAAAATGTAGTTTTTCAATAAAACTGACACTTTCTAGAATGTAGACAAAAGGGATATTAAAATATTTATTTAAAAAATCATTGTCTCTTAACTTAAACAGGATACAGATTATAAACCAGTGCCACTGAAAACAGGAGAGGGTGAAGATTATATGCTGGCCTTAAAACAGGAGTTGAGAGAAACTGTGAAAAGATTGCCTTATTTTATAGAAACACCCGAAGAAAAACAAGGTGCGTATTGGACTCTGATTCTGTGGTTCAGTGCAAACAGATGAAACAATACTTTGGCACAAGATATATGATCATTTGATACTGACTGATTTGATTTAGTCAGGAATTATCAACTACCTTGAAACGTGTATTTTAGGTTGATTTAACAAAAAATATATATTAAAATTTTTGATATTTTATTTGTAGAATTACCTTTTACAATAGTTTTATGTATTCAGTAAAAATTGTGAAAAATAAAAAATATTTAAAAAGTGAAAATCATCTGTAATGTTTATGTCTAGATTAAAATGTTTTCTAGTATATTCCAGAATCTTTCTTCTGTATGTATATTCTTTGTTGTTGCTAATCCTCACCCATTGTATGATTTTTAGAGAGAGTGAAAGGGAAGGGAAGAGACAGAGAAATACCAGTGTGAGAGACAGATGTAGATTGGTTACTTCCCACACACTTCCTGACTAGGGTGGGGGGATTCAGCCTGCAACCTAGGGTACATGCCCTTGACTGGCCTCAAACATGAGACCATTTAATCTGAGGGCCACACTCTAACTATTGAGCAAACCAGCTAGAGCTGCATGTATATTCTTTTTATAAAATTGGATTCATGTTACTTTTGTATCTCCCTTTTTTACTCAGTAGCATATTATTAGCATTTTTGCTTATCCTTGGTATTCTTAGAAAATATTATTTTTATTGACTATGAGGTATTTCATTGTGGATATAACATCAATTGTAACTAATTTCCTGCTGTTAGTCTTAAGGTTGTTTCTTTTTCCCCCCTCATATATAATGCCATGATTACTATCCTTATACGTACGTAAATCTTAATGCAGGCCTCTGATTATTTCATATTTTGGTTAAAAATTTTAAATGCTTTAACTGTATTTTGGCTTATTTTTTATATATCAGATGTAATAGAATACAAAACACACATTCATTGGTTATGCTAAGGCCAGAGAGGAGATGGAGTAGGAGAAGGTTTGACAGTCTCAGACTGGAAGTGGGAAGTGCTTTTAGAGGCAGGGAACCCATTCCCGAGAGGTTATTTAGCAGAGTAGGTCTATATTGATTTTCAGTTTCTGCCCTTGAATGTTGAAATTAGAGAGGTCAATATCATTCTTGAGCTTTCAAAACAACATCATTAAAACATGAGAAATTCATATAGTACTATCACATTCCATTAGTAATAAAAATGCATTCCATTTCCCCTCTCTCTGGAAGCTAGAATTGGCTAAGAGTCAAAAAGGAAGTCTTATAAAGTAATATTGCATGTGCTTATAATTATAAGAAGCCTTTTAGACAAGTTCATTTAACTTTTCAAAATATAACTGCTTGAAGTTACATAATGGTTTGATAAGAAAGAGATAATTATACCTAAAAAAAAATACTGAATTTGTTTACCTCAACATACTGAATTTTTTTAACTTTCATGATTATGTTGCATACTTTTATTTCTTTGAGTTGAAAATGGGAATAAATATCTCATATTAAAGATTTTTAAAAGTAACACTAAATGAACTAATAAATATTCATTCTTATTTAAAAAAAATAACAATGTAGGGTATATTTTAATCTTTTCAAAAATTAGTCTTTTTTGCTTGGCTGGCATGGCTAAGTGGTTGAGCCTCGGCCTATGAACCAGGAGGTCAGGGTTTGATTCCTAGTCAGGGCTCATCGTGCCTGGGTTGCAGCTTGATCCTCAGTAGGGGGCATGCAGGAGGCAGCTGATCAATGGTTCTCTCTCATCATTGATGTTTCTCTCTCTTCCTTTCTGACATATATGGTTTTTAAAAATTAGTCTTTTCTCCAGACTGCAAAACAAATTTATTTAACTAAATGTGCTTGATATTAAAGCACATGTTAATTAAAAGTGTGTCATACCATGAAAGTCTTCATGCGAATCTTTTAACAGGCATATTAAGAACATAATTTTGTTGCTGGTTTCTGGGAGTGGGTGGTTTGTACCTGGATAAAAAGGCTCTATCTTTTTTTAGGAGACTATCTTTGATAACTGCACAATAAAATATTTAAAAATATAAGGAATCTTAGCATGTTTTCAGGGTTTGCCCATGGTATAGAATGTATCAATGCTTCATTTTTTTAGTGGCTGAGTAATATTCTATTTTATGCATATACCACATTTTGTTTAACCAAACATCAGTTGGCAGATACTGGGGTCAGCTCTGCTTTGAGGCTGTCTGAGTAATGCTGCTATGCACATTCATGTATACATTCTTATGTGGACATAAGTCATTTCTATTGGTGGGTATATATCTAGGGTCATATGTTAACTCTATATGTCACATTTTTTAAAATTATTTTTTTAAAATATATTTTATTGATTTCTTTTTTTTTTTTTATAAAATATATTTTATTGATTTTGTACAGAGAGGAAGGGAGAGATAGAGAGTTAGAAACATCGATGAGAGAGAGTCATCGATCAGCTGCCTCTTGCACACCCCCCACTGGGGATATGCCCGCAACCAAGGTACATGCCCTTGACCGGAATCGAACCCGGGACCCTTCAGTCCCCAAGCCGACGCTCTATCCATTGAGCCAAACCGGTCTCGGCTATTTTATTGATTTCTTACAGAGAGGAAGGGAGTGAGATAGAGAGCTAGAAACTTTGATGAGAGAGAAACATCGACCAGCTGCCTCTTGCACACCCCCTATGTACCCGCAACCGATGTACATGCCCTTGACTGGAATCGAACCTGGGACCTTTCAGTCCGCAGACCGGCACTCTACCACTGAGCCAAACCAGTTTTGGCTCTATGTGTAACATTGCAAAATTTTGCACATTTTTTCATCACCAACAATGTATGAGATTTTCAGTTTCTCTACATCCTTGCCAGCATTTATTATTGTCTTTTTGGGTGTAGCCATCCTACTAAGTATAAAATGGTATCTAATTGTGGTATACATTTGAATTTCCCGAATAACTAGTAATGATGTTCAATACCTTATCATGTTTTTTGTCCACGTATATATTTGGTGAAATGCTGTTCAAATTATTGGCCTCTTTTTATTTGGGTCCTAGTACTATTTCTTAGTTGTCTGTAAATTATTTGAAAGTAATTTAAAATTTTTAAAAAATGGTTCATTAAAAGCAGGTAATAACTGTTTTTCTTAGTATACTGTGGATTAATTTTTTTTTTCAAATATGGAATATGTTTTGTAGGAAATTATAAAATGCAAATGATGGAAATCTCTCATTTTTGCTGATTTCTCTTTATAGATGAAAAACTTGAGAGCAAGATTGATGTCAGACAGTTAAATACCTAGAAAAGCCTGATCTCTTGGTCTCTGATCTTCTTTAGCGATCTTTAGTTTTCTTTGTCTACCGCCATAGTCTTAGTATTATTTGGAAGCATTTTGTTAACATAGAAAAAATCATTACATATTTGGGCCTTGATTTTGTGGCAAAGTGGGCAAAACAGAATCAAGAGACACAATTATGACTCATCCATTTTTGGCAAACTCAGAAGATCCCTACAGAGTTCTCAGAAGTTGGCATGAAGGTTTTTAGCTTGCTCATTCGAGTCCAAGCTCGCCTACTCCTCTCCTTTTCCTCATTCTCCTCCCCAATGGGTTGTGAAAAGTAGCTAATTGAGAAGCCTAACTGTGTTAGAAGTGAGCAAACAGCCCTTCATCTCCACTGAGGTACTTAATACATCACAGTTACACAAGGTTTACAGATGAGGAGCTGGAGACCAGTGTCAGCAGAAGAAATAGAAGATGCTGAGTAGACTCCTTGCCCTTGTATGTAAGTGGCTTCTGGGCATGTCTTTTGGTTTTTGTGAATATCCTCAGCGATGAGTCAGGTTGTCTGATTGTAAGAACTATAATTAAAGTTTAGGTTTCTGCTCAATTCCAGCCATTCTTACACAGCTGCTTCTTGACACTCACTTAAATACCTAACGCTCATTGGACTCTTCGATATGTGTTCAGGGATATATTATGTGCAAATGCAGGAAGCTCCCTGAATGTGAAGTGAAAGGTATCTGTGTTTTCAGTTATTTTAAAGGAATGGCTTAAATTCAGGCTTATTCTTGATTTTTCTAATGAACACTTCTAAAATTTTTTTTTCTAGATATTGACAGATATAGTAAAAGATATATGAAGGTGTACAAAGAAGAGTGGATACCAGGTAAATATAAAACTGAGAATGTTAAAATAATATTTAATGGCTATTTTTCCTGCACCATATTTTTGTAGGACAAATTTTCTATTTCACCATAGTAAAATAGATTCTATCTCTTCCAAAATTAATTCTTAATGTATGTCTTTTAAAAGCCAAGAAGAAAGGATATTTATACTGTAACAAGGAAGAGTTGAAGTATTTTTGTGGAAGTTCTTAAAATACTTTATATCTATCTATATATTGTATATATAACAATAAAGGCATAATATGCTAATTAGACTGGACATCCTTCTGGATGTCCTTCTGAATGAAGCAGGGGCTACAAGGAAAGCCTAATGGCAGCCAGATGGAAGTCCGGGTCCCATGTGCCAGAGAGAAGCCGCAGCCAGCAGCCAGGGGAAGGAAAGCCCACTGTTGCATGAATATTGTACACCAGGCCTCCAATATATGTGTGTGTGTGTGTGTGTGTGTGTGTGTGTGTGTGTGTGTGTGTATAAGTATATATATGTATATGTATGTATATATGTACATATACATATACACACACACATACTAGGACTTGGCAGACCTATTTGGGTTTTCCATTTTAATTTGCCACAATCACAGTTTTAGTCTGTAGTACCAGCAGTACTCAGTTCTGTACTCCTGAGTGATTTGACAGCTTTTGAAGAAAGAACAAATCTAGTGTTAAGGGTTTTCTAAGCTAAGCTCATGGATCTTCCTTTCTTTCAAGCAGACAGACTATTTTTAGTTGTTAAGATGCCTTTTCAAAAGAACCATACCCATGAGGGTCTCCCCCCCCAAAAAAATTCATAAATTTGCATTGAATATAGACAAGGTGGAAGGGGCTGGAGAGATCTCATCCAGCTCATTTATGTTGCAGATTAAAAAAAAGTTGCCATTGAAATGAAGTGACCTGTCAGGGTGATTTGGATAGTGCTATTAGAACACAAGTTACAGAGGCAAAAGAAGGCCCTGGCACTTAGGAGAGAGCGGAGTGAAGGTTACATGCCTGCGAAGAAGTGGAGGGATCAGGAAAGGCAAGAGTGAGAGCATGCTTATGCTAGATTTATTTTTAAAGGGGACTCTATATATTGTTTTAAAAACATTTAAATCAACAATTTATTATGAGTAACATTTAATATCTATTTATTCCCCAAAAGTTTTATGTAGAAAAATATTCTTCTACACTTTTCTAGTTATAAAAATTTCTGTTTTTAAAATCTTATATAAATCCTATATAATAAAAACCTAGGATGCATGATGCCCTCTCGTGACATCATCACAAGATGGCCACCACAAGATGGCCTCCACAAGATGGCTGCATGCACAGTGGAGGTGGGGCCCAGTGGCCCCTCCTTGCAGTGAGGCCTGAGGGTCCTGTGGCATGGAGAAGGCTGGTCCCAGTGTCTCTGCCACCATGCATGGAGGAGGCGAGTCTGGCAGAGGAGGTGGGTTGCGGCAGACAGGGCAGTTGGGGATGATCAGGCTGGCAGGTGAGGGCAGTTGTGAACAATCAGACTGACGGGAAGGCAGTTGTGGGCAATCAGGTTGGCAAGGGAGGGCAGTTGTGGTTGATCAGGCCAGCAGGGGAAGGCAGTTGTGGGCAATCAGGCCAGTAGGGAGGGTAGTTGGGAGGGATCAGGTTGGCAGGTTGGCAGGGGAGGGATCAGGTTGGGGGCAATCTGCCCTAACTGTCCTCCACTGTAGGCCTGGTCCACCCCCCCCAATTGCCCTCCACTGCAGGCCTGGTCCCCCCACCCCACTGCCCTCCACTGCAGGCCTGGCCCCCCCCAACTGCCCTCCTCTGCAGTCTTGGAACCCTGCAACTGCCCTCCCCAGCTGACCTGGTCCCTCCCAACTGCCCTTTTCTGACAGCCTGGTCACCCCTACCTGCCCTCTCTGCTTGCCTGGTCCCCCACAACTGCCCTTTCCTGCAGGCCTGGGCCCCTCCTCTCCAACTTACCTCTTCTGCAGACCTGGGTCCCCCCAACTGCCCTCCTCTGCCAGCCTGGTCACCCCAATGCCCTCCTCTGCTGGCCTGGTCACCCCTAATTCCAACTGCCCCCCTCTGAAGGCCATCTTGTAGCAGTCATCTTGTGGTGGCCATCTTGTGTCTTGGTGTGATGGTCAATTTGCATATTACTCTTTTATTAGATAGGATTTCAAAGCTATTTTAATGAACACTTTTTCTTCATGGGAGAAAATACATTATTGTGATATTTTGATACCCATGCTAAATCTGTACAATTTGATATTAAGAAATTTTATTTTCATTGCTTGAGCAACTGTTGTATTTTTTGAAATAATTATGTCCAGTACCATTAATTTGTAGAAGGAACTGCAATTTTTATATTTCTTTTTTTGTACATACAGATTGGAGAAGACTCCCAAGAGAAATGATGCCAAGGAAGAAAATCAAAAAAGGTATATTGACTAGAATAATAATCCAGGTAGGAAAAGGTTATTGCTTAAATTCTACCTAATGTGAAATGGTCAATCTGAAGCTACACTTAGTGTTCTGAATGCTTTTTCTTAAAATAGACTGACATTTTTATTTTGCCAAAGCTCTTTTTGTTGATTTTTTTTTGTTTATTTTCTTAAATTATGGAATTTGATGGGATAGGAAAATCTTTTTAATTATGTAGATAATTTTATTTGAAAATTTGTAAATGGTTATATTGCTCGATTTTTCATTCTTTAGTTGAAACATTTGGAATTTGTAAAATTTGGGGATTGGTAGAATAGAACTTTTTGTACATAAAATACCAAAGTGAAAGTTTCCGTTGTATTGCTTTCATAATTCCATTGAGTAATTAATTGTTGAGAATCTACTTTTGCTGGACACTGCTAAGAGCAATAAAATAGTGAGCGAAGTGGGAATAATCCTTATCCTAATGGGGCTTACATTAGTCACAACATTAAAAACAAAATCCCATGGTCCTCATTGAGAGGTCAGGGAAAAGCTTTTTGAGGAGATGGAATTGGACTCCGGGTTCAAGAATGAGTAGGAGTTTACTAAGGTGAGGTTGGAGGAGGGATTTGGAGAAAGATCTGGTTTGAGAATGAAAATCATAAGTTAATTCAAAGATAGTATTTAAGGGTTTGGATTTGCTGTGCTTTTGTTTTGTTTTTTAGATATAAAAATAGCAACATTGAATATGGACTTCAAAAGGGAGGTCGTAATCATCAAATAGATATTATAATTGAGACTGTAAAAAAGAATGAAGTTGTCTAGAATGAAATTAAAGAACTTGGGCCGAAGCCCAATAGCTGGTAGAGGAAACTGATCCAGTAAAAAAAAGGAGATAGAAAGAGAGAAAAAGAAGTTTGAGGAGTAACTAAAGAGAGTGGAGTTACAGAAGAGTATTCAGAAGTGAAGAGTATTTTAGAAGGTGGGCAACCATGCTAAAGAATGGTAGACAATACTGCTGATAGGTCTATAAAGATTGGAAAAGATAAATTAATTTTTGGCATGTTGATCATTGCTGACTTCAGTGAGAGCTTTTTAAAAGATTTGTAGAGGTAGGATTTAGTAGATTAGAATGGGTTAAACATTGGAATAGGAGTTTAAGAAATGGAGTCAACATAGAGTAGTCTAGAAAATTGTGCTAAAAAGAATGAAGAGATAAAAAGGGAATCGCCAGAGAGTTTAAGAACAATGGGGCTAGTAACTAAGAGAAGAAACTCCACTCATACACCTCTGTATTTTTGCAGGTCCTGTTTATGTTTTTTAATAGACTTTTTTAAACAGCAAAAATGAGCAGAAAATACAGATTTCCCATATATTCTCTGCTCCACATACATGCATAGCCGCATTGCCAACATCTCGCACCTTAGTTATAGTTGAACCTACATTCATACATCATTATCATAATTTATCTTTGGGCTCTCTCTTGGTGTTTTACATTCTATGGGTTTGGACAAATATAAATATATGACATGCATTCACCATTATACTATCAAACAGAATATTTTCAATGCCCTAAAAATCATCTATACTCTACCTATTCATCCCTCCTCTTAAACCCTGGCAACTACTATTTTTTTCACTAACTCCATAGTTTTACCTTTTCCAGAATATCATATAGTTGGAATTATATAGTATTGTATATAGCCTTTCATATTGGCTTTTTTCATTTAGTAATATGCAACTAAGTTTCCTCCATGACTTCTTTTTTTTTTTTTTTAATATATTTTATTGATATTTTACAGAGAGGAAGGGAGAGAGATAGAGAGCTATATGTTTTATTGATTTTTTACAGAGAGGAAGGGAGAGAGATATTAGAAACGTCGATGAGAGAGGAACATCGACCAGCTGCCTCTTGCACACCCCCTACCGGGGATGTAACCGCAACCAACATACATGCCCCTGACCGGAATCGAACCTGGGACCTTTCAGTCCACAGACCAACGCTCTACCACTGAGCCAAACCGGTTTCGGCTGGAACATCTTTTTATATGCTTTCTTTCAGTTTGTATATCTTGTTCAGCAAGATGTCTATTAAGGTCTTTGGTCTATTTTTTAATTGGGTTTTTGTGTTCTTATTGTTGAGTCTTAAGAGTTTTTGGTATATTTTGGATAACAATCTGTAGGAAAACAATACTCCTGTGCTTTTCTCCTTTACTCTCATACTAATACCAATCACCCTATTTCTGACACCAAACAAATCTCTGCAACAGCAACTGCGTGTCTTGCAATTCAATTCAATTCTGACAGAAACTGGAGTTAGCACAGACCCCACAGGTCAAAGGCTCAGTCCCACGAGTCTGCTTCCCATTTCAGATGCCAATCATGAGTAGTAGGTTCCCAGGTTACCCAAACTTCTCTCTGACTTGCATATAAATCAGATGTCCCCATGACTACTCCTTGAATTTGATTTACCAGAATAGCATATATTGGGCCAAAGATGGAAAAATAATTCATGTTAATATTTTGGGGTTAAAACAGTCTTTTAACAGATTTTGGTAATTTGACAGTTCTCCCCCAATTATATATATAATGGATTAGGCATTATAGAAAGTGAGAATAATAAGTAGCAAAAGATTCTCAGTAGATTTGAGTGTACAGTTTATTTCTTGTTTAAGAAATTAGTAATTTTAATGTTGATTTACCTGACCCTGTTCTATAGTATGGATTTAGCAGACTATGTGTTATGAAACTTAAATAATTTTGATAAAAAAACCTTAAAAAAAAGAATTAATGGTGTGAATAAATTACGTTTTTAGCTAATTTTATCTGGCACCAATATTATAATATGCTAGAGGCTCAGTGCACGAAATTCATGCACGGGTAGGGTCCCTAGGCCTGGCCAGTGATCAGGGCCCATCTGGGCCTTCTGGCTGCTGGTCAGGGCCTTCCTTCGTTCTGCGCTGCCCCCCTGGTGGCCTGCGCATGTAATAGCAAGTAATCGAACAAGGTCTGATTGAATACCCGAGGGGACACTTTGCATGTTAGCCTTTTATATATATAGATATTGAGATCTTGTTCATTTATGATACTCTGTATTTATGTGCTACAGTTCAAATTAAACAGACTTTGCCCACAAGGGGAACCAAGAAAGTTACCCATTATTAAATCTAACCATTACTTTGTTCAAGCAAAACCTCACTAATATATATGTTTGGGAATTCTGAGTTTGGTGATTTTCCAAGGGGCAATTTGGAATAACCCAGTAAATTATAATTCATTAAAACTTCTTCGATAGGTTAAATGTTAATCTTTAACAAAATTATATCTTTCTGAGCTATATTTTCTTGTTCCCAAGTAATTTCTAGGTATTTAGTATGATTGTGAAAATAAATTTAATACTTATTTTTATCACCATGACAATTTTGTAGTATATTATGATGTTTTGGTAACTAATTGGCAGGAGCTATGTGTGAAATAATTCTCTAGTTTCTGCAGTTTCAGAACAGCCTAAAATGCAATATATATAATATATTTTATTGATTTTTTACAGAGAGGAATGGAGGGAGATAGGGAGCCAGAAACGTCGATGAGAGAGAAACATCGACTAGCCGCCTCCTGCACAACCCCCACCGGGGATGTGCCCGCAACCAATGTACATGCCCTTGACCGGAATAGAACCCGGGACCTTTCAGTCCGCAGACCGACGCTCTACCACTGAGCCAAACCAGTTTCGGCATAAATGTAATATTTTTATATGGCTTAAAACAATATCCCAAAGGCATTAACATATTTTATTTATATTGCTTTAAATTTTCAAATTCCTGTGATGGATATGTTCACATTAACCATTTTAATATTCATTCCAAATATAGTGCTATGCTGCACTGAATATAACCTCTTTCTCATCTCTTTAACCATTGGCAAATGCATATTTCTTCTGCACTTATTTTTTATTTTCCAAACTTGATAAAATTGCCCTAGTTAAAGTAAAATACACTGATCAGTGAACAGGAAGCCAATGCAGGTGATATATTTGTGAGAGCTTTTCACTGGTCCTGTAACGACTCTTTTGGAGGTGATATTTTAGCAGTTTTGACCTGAATGGCATTAATTGCCAATACAGATTCTCAGTATTAGTAAAATGGTATCTATTTGCAGTCTTAGAAAATATCCTACTAGGTGATTATCGTTTACTTATAATCATGGAAAATTGGTGAGGTGTGTTGATTTTTTTGTTTTATTTTGTTTATTCTTTAAGAAAATCAATTCAGTCTGTAAATTATGTGATGGCCTGGTATGGCATACCCTTATGCTAGGCAGCATGTTAGACGGCAAAGAAATATAATATACCATTGATATTATTTACTAGTAAAAATGTGTTAACAGTGATTTTACTTCAACAGGTCCCAAATCCAAAAAGGTGAACGACACTGGCAAAGACATTTCACTCACTAATACTGCAGATGTACTGAAAACAATTGAGGTAAAGTTTCCTTCTTGTTATAAAAGTGAACTGAAAAATTGTCATTCCGCCTCTGCCTTCAGCCTTTTCACCTTTTCGGACATTTTAATAACATGTGGAATTGGCAGATCCGAGCCCAGCACACAGGTAACCCGAGAGGTTTGACATCGTTGGCTGGGAGATAAGGGACACCATTCTCGCCTTCTCTTTCACCCGCCTGTCAGCTTGCCTCACCTTCTGTCACCTGCCTTCTTTTCCACTCTGTTTCTATTTTTCCCTTGCATAATACATACCTCAAACGTATTTCTTTTAAAAACCTTTCAGTTTTTCTCCTATTGTTGTATGTATACTTTTTTAATACTTTTCTTCTTTCTTATGTTAATTGTATAAGATTTTATTTAGGGAAAGCCATAACTTACGGAACTTATTTTTATATTTCAAAACAAAAAAGATATAAAATGCAAAAGTTTAATTAACTAAAAATTTCCCCACCCGCTCTGTTCCTCTACTGTAGACAATCAATGTTACAAGTTTGTTATATATCCTTCCAGAAATATTTTATGCATAGCAAACACAACTTTTTTCTTTAATTACAAAAGGTAACATATACACTCATGCATTTTCATTTTACCACTTAAATACACTGATCAGTGAACAGGAAGCCAAGGCAGGTGATATATTTGTGAGAGCTTTATCTTTAAGATAGTTCCAGGTCAGTCTGTATAGTCTAGGCTCTTTTTTGTTGTTGTTGTTGGCTGCACTATAAGACCAAACCATAATTTTTAAAATCAATATGCTACTAATGGACATTATGTTTCATGTAGTGTTTCATTATTAGAAACAATGCTGAATTCATGTCAAGTATGTCATTTCACACATGTAGGGTTGATTTCTAGAAATGGGTTTGTTGGGATGGTGGATATATGCATTGTATTATATGGATTAATATTAACAGATCACTGTCCATGAAGGGCATGCCAGTTTATTGGTATCATGCCGGTAATACCTTGCATTGATGTAGATAATAAGGATAATGATAAGGATGGCCACCAGCACTTATTGAAACCTTATTATTTACCAGGCTCTTTGATTTTTATTCATTATGTCCTTAAGACTTCATTATAATAGGCGATATTATTATTCCTTACATATGAGATGGGCGTTATTATCCCTTCCTTACTTTACAACTTTTACTTGCCTGGGCCAGCTGGCCAGCTACATGGTAACAGAAACTCGTATTTTTTTTTTTCTCTCATATTTTTGATTTTTTATTTTGTCCATTGCTTGAGCTGGAGAAAACATGGCTGAAAATAAAACCAAGAGGAATAGTGTTGGAATAATAGCATTAACTGTCAGGTTTAACTGTAGTAAACGGATGGATGGGGTTGCAGACCTACCCAACTTGCATTGATTGAACACAGATTCTGACTGTTCGTAAGGCTTCTTGGAAATGAGTTGCTAAGCTGGCATGTGCTATGAGGAAGATTGATTTGGACCTCTGAATGCAGTTTCTCATCAGGACAAATTGTTTTCTTAGTCCCTGCATTAGAACACCTTTTCCAGTACAAACATTGTTAAAACTGGAGTTTCAAATCTAAAAACTCCAATGAGCAGTTTTAATAGAGCAAAATTAGCTTCCAGATGACTCTGTTACTGTTCATTTTTTCAACAAAAGCAGTTGAAAGTCTTATTTAACGTTTTCAAAGTGTTTTCTCATTATATTATTCACATTATTCTTAACACAAATATGTAAAGTAGTAGGCTAAATAGTTAAATCTCATAGAAGATAAAATTTGAAACTATTATGTAGATCAGTGTTTCCCAAACTTTTGACATATGTGTACCCCTTCTATGATTTTTGTAACCCTGAGTACCCCTCGTACTCATGAGAATGTAAAATTAGGCACAGCTAAGCACAGTGCAGTGCATATCCTCACCAAACTCTCGTGCAACGTGAGCCCCCACCAAACTCTTCCCATACCCCTGGGGGTACACGTACCACACTTTGGGAAACACTGAAGATGAACCAAAACTAGTAGCTTACTGCAAAAATAAATAAATAAATAAATAAAGTAATAAATAAAGTAATAAATAAAGTAATGAAGTAATGAGACAATGTGTGTAGCACTTAGATAATTTTTTAAATTCCATTAAATCTGCTTTTGGTTAACTCGTCAAGTATTTTATGGGTTTCATTTAGGTCTATGTCATAGAAATAAAGTTAAAGCTATTTATCTAAAGGTATTTGTTGCTCAGTGGTTGAGTGTTGTTGACACATGAACCAAGAGATCACGGTTCTGTTCCTGGTCTAGGCACATGCCACTTTTGCAGGTCCAATCCCCAGTAGAGGGTGTGCAGAAGGTAGCCAATCAATGGTTCTCATCATTGATGTTTCTATGATGTTTTTATTTCTCCCTCTCCCTTCCTCTCTCTGAAATCAATGGAAACATTTTTTTTTAATTAAAGGTATTTGAGGTGGCAATAATGAATATAAAGTATGGAATGAATTTTATATTTCTGTATAACTAGTTTAAATAATTTCCTTGCTAATTACAAAATAATAGCTAATAGCATGATTTTTCAAATGCAACACTTAACCTTGCACATAGTTAAATACAATCCCCTTTTAGCTACACAAATTTATGTTTTCATTAAAACAGAAAATAAAAAAATCCATATATTAGTTAATATTATAATAATATAGCATCATTCTATATGTGTGTGTGTGTGTGTGTATGTATATATATATATATTTTGTCCATTGAGGCATTGTGTTTGCATGTATGTATTACATCCCTAGAATAATAATTCCAGGACTTGCCCTCCTGTATGTTTTCATCTTGCTTCTTCATGGCCCGTGATGCCCACTGAGGTTGTCAGTACAATGAAAGCAAACTGATAGGATGGGAGCAGATTATTCTGCCATTTCTCTAGATCTTTTGAGTTGCACATCAAATCTAGGGCTGATTACTTCACACTTGTTCAACCTGCCTGTGAGTTTTACAACGTATTTCCCAGCTCTGGTCATTAACAATTTCAAATTTGCCAATGTGACCATGCTTCATCATCATAGTTAGAAATCAGATGACTTTGGAGCACGGCCTAGTAAGAACCTGGAGTTTGCCTTCTTTTTTTTTTAATATATTTTATTGATTTTTTACAGAGAGGAAGAAAGAGGGATAGATAGAAACATCGATGAGAGAGAATCATCGATCAGCTCCCTCTTGCACACCTTCTATTGGGGATGTGCCCGCAACCCAGGTACATGCCCTTGACCGGGATTGAACCTGGGACCTTTCAGTCCCCAGGCCAACGCTCAATTCAATGAGCCAAACTGGTTTCGGCTTGCCTTCTTTTTGGCATTGTTCATAATCCTGAGAAAATCAGCCAGAACATTCATGTACACCATTATGGTGGCATGGAAAGATGGTAGAAAGAGATGTTTGTGTGTGTGTATGTGTGTGTATATTTATAGACACTTTAAAATACCTATAGTTAAGATTTTGTTTACTTGCATTTTCCCAAAGACTTGCCACTTATAAAACTTTCACACATTCCATTGTAGTAATAAGTTATAAGGCAAGATGGATCAGTATGAAGATAAGAGGTCTTTTTTGTTCTTAGTGGGGTCAAGTGACAGGAAAGTAGAGTTTGAATTTTGATGAGAAACTGAGTTTATCTGATGTAGTTTTTTGTTGCCTTTGATTTCCTTAAATTCAAATTTGAATGTAATAAATTTCTAAAAATAAATATTTATGAACCAATAATGGTATGACTAAGTTATAATTGCTCCAAATGTAAAATGTGTTTTTATCTCTGTATCTACTCTACTAAGCAAATATAATAGGATGGGATATTTGCAAATTTATGAATTAGTGTTATGATTACTGTTTAGGAATATACACATCTTAACTAACGTGATCTTATGCCTTAATTATGAATATTAATATGTGAAATTATTGCTGCGCCCACCTAGAAAGTTTGTGAAATCCTATCACTTGTACAAATTAATGTAGAACATTTAAGTGATCGAATAATGACAGCAATGAAACAGCACATTTTTTATCAAATAGAAGAATATTGTTGATATTCATAATAGAATATCGGGATTTGTTAAAGTTATGAAATGATACCATAGTGATTTTAACAGAGTGGATAAGTAGAATCATCAGGCAATCAAAGTTTTCTAACTCTGTACCTCTCTTTTACCTCCTCTCACAGAGTTGTTAATAAGTGCTAATATTGACCTGAGTTGAGTTAATCTTTCTTTTTTTCTAATTAAGAAGCAAAATTCCTGGGAAATGGGAAGTAAATAATGAAGAAAATAAGTAAAAAGACATAGATAATCTACAAATAGTATAACTCACCCCAAAATGACTTGATATTGTTTTAAATAATTTCACTTATAAACTAAAACATAGACATTTGGAAATAGCACTATAACATTCTCTATTCTCCTTCTATGTTAGAAGGAAACGAAAGAACATTCTGAAAGTTCTCCATAAACTGAGTCAATTCAATACTTTTGACTGAGGTATGATAAAAATCACAAAAATAAAGCACTGTTTATGGAGCTGATCCCCCAGCATCACCTGGAACCCAATTATGAAGTAATGAAATAAAATAAAACTCTAGAGTCATGATAAGACAGCGAGTTCCTCCTTTCTTGGATTAACTCACAATTTCCTGTATGATGCCCAGGTCTTGGTAAGGGAGGATTAGAATAAGGTGATAGGTAACTGTTATCTTAAGGCTGAGCAGGGATCTCAAAGTCTAGTGGTTTACAAGGAAATTTAATGAAGTTCCTTTATAACAGGAATTGGAAAAGAAAGGTGATGGTGAAAAATCAGATGAGGAAAATGAAGAGAAAGAAGGAAGCAAGGAGAAAAGTAAGGAAGATGAGGAGGAGGAGGAAGATGATGCTGCAGAACAAGAGGAATATGATGAAGAAGAGCAAGAAGAGGTAATGGTCTATTTTGTAAGGATAACAAAATTAATTAAGATGAAGAATTATCCATTAAGGAGTCAGATATATGGAATAGGTTAAAATGAACACCAAGTTGATGGGAACCAGGGGCATATTTTTATCACTGGCATCAATTCCTTTCTATCAAGAGAATTTTGTAGCATTGTTGTTATAATGATGGCAAATTGAATATAGGAGTTAAAAATAAAATGATAGCCGAAGCCGGTTTGGCTCAGTGGTAGAGCGTCGGTCTGCGGACTGAAAGGTCCCAGGTTCGATTCCGGTCAAGGGCATGTACATTGGTTGCGGGCATATCCCCAGTAGGGGGTGTGCAAGAGGCAGCTGGTCGATGTTTCTCTCTCATCGACGTTTCTAACTCTCTATCTCTCTCTCTTCCTCTCTGTAAAAAATCAATAAAATATATTTAAAAAAAAAAAAATAAATAAATAAATAAAAATAAAATGATAGGCAACTTTGTAAGTGCAAGTCCACCAGTTAAGGAAATTGATGATTGATTTAATTAAAATTTGTTGACATAAAATTTTAAATCAGCAGTTAGGGGCTTTTTTAAAAATATATTTTATTGATTTTTTACAGAGAGGAAGGGAGAGAGATAGAGAGCTAGAAACGTCGATGAGAGAGAAACATCGACCAGCTGCCTCTTGCACACCCCCTACCGGGGATGTGCCCGCAACCAATGAACATGCCCTTAACCGGAATCCAACCCGGGACCTTTCAGTCCGCAGACCGATGCTCTACCACTGAGCCAAACCTGTTTCGGCAGCAGTTAGGGGCTTAGTCATGTAGGTCTGAGCAGGAATTCCCTATATCACAAAATGCATGTAGACACTAGGGAAACATTTATAACCCAACCTCAGGCATCTGACTCAGTTAGGAGTCAGTGTTCTGGATTTTAGATTTCCAACTTTGAGAAACGGTATGTTTCAAAATAAGCTGGAATCATTCCAGGTATTTTTGAGCAGGGTGACTTGGTTGGCCATGCCGCGTTGGGACTTGCAGAGACTTCAGGCAGTAACCCTAGGCTAAGAGTTTCCTCTCCTTTCCAGTGACCTTTGTCTTCACTCCATTTCAGCTTCTCACACCACACTGAGTCTTCCCCTGAAACTCTTCCAACTATGAAATCTTTATTATTTGCTTTAATTATTTTGCATTAAATTTCATATTCTTTTGAATTTATATTTATGTAAAAGGAGAGATTGGTCTATTTTTTATTTGTTTCCAAATATCTAGCCAACTGGTAACCTCAGTTATGAAATAATTTGCTTTCTTCATTAATTTGAAATTCTCCTTAATTAACTGTTAGATTCCCACATCTACTTAGTCATATTTCTGGACTCTATTCCATTGTTCTATTTTGGAACCATCACTGTCCTAATGACTAAAATCTAGTATTTTTAGGGTATGTTACCCTTTTTCAGGATTTTTCTGTGTATTGTTTGTTTATTCTTCCAGATAAATTTTAACTCCAGACATTTTAAAATTAAACATATCACATTTGCCTCCAGTTTTCTTTCCAGATCATTCACTTTATTTCTGAGCTGACATGATTAAAACTACCAAACCCACCAAAACCGGTTTGGCTCAGTGATAGAGCATCGGTCTGTGGACTGAAAGGTTCCAGGTTCGATTCCGGTCAAGGGCATGTACATTGGTTGCGGGCACATCCCCAGTAGGGGGTGTGCAAGAGGCAGCTGGTCGATGTTTCTCTCTCATTGACGTTTCTAGCTCTCTATCCCTATCTCCTCCTCTCTGTAAAAAAAATATAAATATAAATATATATATATATATATATATATATATATATATATATCAATAAAATATATTACAATAAATAAAACAACAACTACCAAACCCTCTGATCCTCTATCTCTCTGCTGTATTGGGTCCCTGTCTTTATTTCCTTCCCTCAGGAGCCCTTGCTCACCCTTCAACTTCTTTGTTGCTATTGTTCTTGTCTTCGTCTCGCAGTACATAACTAAGACCAAACCTACTTGATCAGTTGCATTTTCTCTCTCCTTTTCCTTCCAAATCTGTCTGTTGAGCTTTTCTGAAGAATTATAAAAACGGTTGCTCCTTAAAAAAACAAAACAAAAAACACTAGTCCTATTTGGCTACCTAACACATTTTCTGTTTCTCTTGTCAAGTCAGTTCCCCATTGCAAGTATCTTTATTCTTAATCCCTCTTCTTGACTACCTTTTCTTTTACTTTCAGCAGATATAGCATCCACCTTCATACAGAAAGTAAAATCATTAAGAGAAAACTCTTTTATTTCATGTCCTCTGCCTTCAAACTAGCTATCTTCCCTCCTCCTCTTTTTTTATTAATGGAAAAAGAGAAATGTACTTCATCCTGTTGAAGGCTAATTGTCCTGCCCTTTATTGAGACCTTACGCCTATGTCATTTCCCTTTCCATAATTTCAACCTCTCAGCCATGCCATGCCTCCTCCATACATTGGCTTCAGGCTTCAGCCAGTTTCCATATATTGTTGGATTACTTGGGACCAGTGAAGCCAACCCAACTTCCTGGAAATGGTAAGGGTCTTATCCAGATACAGAAACTTACAGTATTCAGGAAAGACAAAGTAATGACAAATTACCTTTCTTGCATTATTTATATAAATTTATATATAAAATTCCACCATGGAGATACTAAATAAGATGATATCCAGGAGACTTTCTTTTGGGAATAGCTCCTATTTCTTACTGTCATAATTCCTACTGTAGAGAGTAGAGACATGGACATTTTTATTGTGGCTGATTTCAATCATGTGCAAAATCTAGTGACTTAAAATAGCAGCTCGGCTTTAACAATGATCAATGTATTACTGATCTTTTAGTCATTCACCCACCCAGTCTATTCCTGTCCCCCCACTTCAAAACCCATCTGTCTTAGATTATTATAAAGCAAATCCTAGGCATTGTATCATTTGATTCATAAATATCTTAGTATGTACTCAAAAATAAGAACTCTTTAACAATGTTACAGTATTATTCCTAACACATGAAATATAATTCCTTAATATCAAATATTAAGCCATTGTTCAAATTTGTTAGATTATCTCAAAAAATGGTCCCAATCAAAACCCAAATACAGTCCATACATTGCAGTTGGTTAGTAATTTTCTTAAATGTCTTTTAATCTTTATATTTTAAAAGTGTTGTATAATGTATATTCAGACATAAATTATTATTTTTTTTTATTGCTCACAGTATTACAGATGTCTCCCATTTTCTCTCTTTTTGCCTCCCTCCACCCACCCCCACCCCAGGCCTTCCCCATGCTATTGTCTGTTTCCATGGGTTATGCATATATGCACATATGTTTTTTGGTTAATTTCTTCCTCTCCCCTCACATACTCCTAGCCCAATGGAGATCTGTTATTCTGTTCCATGCATCCATACCATTGGAGCTATTTTGTTCCTTAGTTTATTTTGTTCATTAGATTCCACATGTGAGACCATGTGATATCTGTCTTTTTTTTACTAGCTCAGCATAATCATCTCCAGGTCCAACCGTGTTGACTCAAAAGATAAGAGCTCCTTCCTTTTTACAGCTGCATAGTATTCCATTGTGTAAATCTAATACAGGTTTTTTTATCCACTCATTTACTGATGGGCCCTTGGCTGTTTCCAAATCGTGGCTATTGTAAATAATGCTGCTATGAACATAAGTGCATATACTTTTCTGATTGGTGTTTCAGGATTCTTAGGATATATTCCCAGAAGTGGGATCATTGGGGTCAAATGGCAGTTCCATAAGTTTCTGTACATTTATTTTAAATAAGTGCTCAGTGTTATAGCTAACTATATATCATCCCACTGAGGTTTAATGAATTAAATGTGTCATCCTACTAAAGTGTAATAGGCATCCCCTCATGATCTCTTAGCTAGTTGATGCCTGAGAACAAAAGAGTTGGTGGTCTTGAAGAAAGCAGCACAGGTAGACCGTATTTTTCGGACCATAAGACGCACTTTTTCCCCCCCAGAAGTGGGGGGGAAAAGTCCCTGCGTCTTATGGTCCAAATATAGCCTACACATATACTTTAAAAAAAAAGTTTTTTTACTTGCCCGGCTCTGTGTGGTCTCTGTGTGCTTGCCTGGCTCTAAAATGGTTCTAAATGCTGCTGTTTACTTTACAGGGTTGATTACATGTGTTTATGGCTGTGATGTTGGGTTTTAATGCACATAAAATATTTTAGGACACTATTTGCTTCAGAATCTTTTTTTCTTCATTTCCCTTCTCTAAAAACTGGTGCGTCTTATGGTCCGGACCGTCTTATGGTCCAAAAAATACGGTAGTTGATGCCTGAGAACAAAAGAGTTGGTGGTCTTGAAGAAAGCAGCACAGGTAGATGCAAGTAAAAGCTAATGTGTTTTCTAAGCAGATAGCATAACCTGATGTATTTTATACCTAAACTAGAGGCCTGGTGCATGAAATTCATACACTTGCGGGGATACTTCAGCCCAGCCTGTGCCCTCTTGTGGTTCAGGAGCCATTGGGGGATATCTGACTGCTGGCTTAGGCACGCTCCCTGGGGGAAGCAGGCCTAAGCTGCAGTCAGACATCATTAGCGCTGCTGTGGAGGCGGGAGAGGCTCCTGCACTGCTGCTGTGCTTGCCAGCTGTGAGCCCAGCTCAGGGCTTCTAGCTGAGTGCATTCCCCCTGTGGGAGCGCACTGACCACCAGGGGGCAGCTCCTGCACTGAGCGTCTGCCCTCTGGTGGTCAGTGTGCATCATAGCAACTGGTTATTCCACCAGATGGTCGATTTTCATATTAGGCTTTTATTATATAGGGTTTGATATTTGTAAATATAAAGGGATAGCCTACATGTGTTTCTTAATAATAATGTTACTACTCATTAATTTTAATGTTTACTGAGGACTCTATCATTTCTCTTAGGAAAATGACTACATTAATTCATACTTTGACAATGGAGATGATTTTATCGTAGACAGTGATGACAACATGGATGAAGCAACCTATTAGCTATGAAGTTAACCCAAAAATATTTCTATGATACAGCTTCTGAACATTTGGATAGATTTATTTCCTTATTTCTGATAAGAAATGAGTAAGTATTTTTGTTTCTGTTTTGTTGACAATATTTGTTACCAAAATATTTGGAACCATTTTGAGTTCACACACTAGTTACTTTACCAATTAGTCTCTGACACTGACATTCCTTCTCCGCACCTCTTTTTGCCTCTTAAGTATTCAAGTGAAAATTTTATTTTTGGTATTATTTGGATTAGAATATGCCTAAAGAGTTTTTGCATCTTTTAATCTACATATTTGTACTTGAACAAATTATTCTTATTTAACTGCTTGCTGATCTTTTATAAAACTATTACTTGTCATCATAATGGATTTCTGTAACCTGAAAGTTGATTTAATACTGCACATGGAGCACTTTAAAAACAAAGAAACTTGAAAATAATTTTACTTTTTACTTTTACATGGTATGTTCTATGCTACTATATGATGACTACATAAACCTACCTGCGTTCTTAAAATTGCATATGAGATTAGAAGTTTGTGATAAAAAATATACACAGAGAAAAATATCAGTCAGAGCTATATAAATTTTTTAAAGTATATTTTATTGATTTTTTTTTTTACAGAGAGGAAGAGAGAGGGATAGAAAGATCAATGTGACACATCGATCAGCTGCCTCCTGCACACTCCCCACTGGGGATGTGCCTGCAACCAAGGTACATGCCCTTGACCGGAATCGAACCGGGACCCTTCAGTCCGCGGGCCGGTGCTCTGTCCACTGAGCCAAACCGGTTAGGACGAGCTATATGAATTTTCCAGCGTACATCTCAGCCAAGTGCAAAGACTTGGGAGGAATATTAAAAATACTTGAATTTGGTGACTTCATACCACACATTATGTGAAGTAATCATCATCTCACTGTAATAAGTTTGATATTTCAAATAATTTGGCTTATGAAACATTAGACATTTAAATTTGTACTTTATAAAAGTGTAGTCACATAAATCTCACTGCAGAATGCATGTGTGCAACCTTCGAGGCATGATGGCCTCTTATATTTCAAAGGACTTTATAGCCATCCAATTGGCTTATATAAAGTGCAGAATAACACTCAGGTCTCTTTGAAACTAAGATTAACCTTTTTTGTCTTAATTAAAAACTAGCCCCCCCCCCCCCCCGACATTTTATATTGGGAATGGGGGAAATACCTAAAAACCTTAGCCTCTACAGACTCACAAATGCCAAAGATTTTGAAGGGAAGTCATATTATATATTTCAAAAATTATTTTTTATTATCACCTACCAAAAGAAATTTTTATTTGTCCCTTTTGGGAAGGTATCACCCATTACCCTCTAACCTGAGAATTGGAGCCCTAGACTCCATTTCTACCCCTACTATTAAACTCAACCTTGAAATTGAGTTTGGTTTTCTGTAAAAACTGTTTAAAGACCAACCAAAATTTACCATATGTACCCATTCTCTTAATATCTAGAAATAATTTCTACTTTACTTAAATGTGTCTGGCCCTCTAAAAAATTATAGCTTGTAAAGTGATTGAAAACACTGTTTTGAGAAACAAACATTTTTTCCTCACAAAATATATTGTAACCTGACTTTCCCATCTTGGTATTCTGGTGGGAAAATTTTATATTGTCTTGTGCCATTTTGTAAACTGGCTTTCTCAGGAAAAAAGATCCCTTTCGATTGTAATACTTCCTCAGATAATTCAAGATGGGTGAGGGCCATTATTAGTTCAGTGCTTATGTTGTTTATATGTTTTCCTTTAAAGAAACTTACAAAACATTTTAAATGGAAAACATGAAGTCTACTTTAAAGCAGCAATTGATTGCACTTAGAATAGAAACCTCACTTAAATTTAAAATATATATATGTTTTATTGATTTCTTATACAGAGGAAGGGAGAGGGACAGATAATCAGAAACATCAATGAGAGAGAAACATCAATCAGCTGCCTCGTGCACCACCACCACCACCACCCCCTAACCCCCCCGCGACGTGCCCGCAACCAGGGTACATGCCCTTGACCAGTATGAACCCGGGACCCTTCAGTCCGCAGGCAGACACTCCATCTACCGAGCCAAACCGGCCAGGACCTCACTTTAGTTATAATGGGCTGTCATTTAGGATTGATACTTAACATAGCTCTTTTACTCTCTCACTTCCTTAGTATCTTAACCTAATATTATTTAATTTATAAAGCTTATCTCTGTGCTTCTGTTTGCTTGCTTTGTTGTAAATCTACAGATAACTGCTTGAATAGGGCAGATGTACCAAAGATAGTGTTTTTCTCCCCAGCTTTCATCTGTCTTCAATATTTCAGACCTGCAGGTGGTACCACAGCCCTTGGGCAGGTGTTTGCCTTGGGAAGCCCCAGCCTTCTCCCCTGAGTGCACTGTCTCCTTTGGAAAAGTTGAGAACAGGCAGAATGTTTGCAAGTTCCTTTGCCAGCATGAATCTTGTTTTTATAGCTTAAAATGTCAGACTGTGAAGTTATTCCATAGGAAGGTAAACTTTAATGCAGAGATAGTATCTCATACATAAGAGTACTTGTTGGTGAAGTGTCTTTAAAATTGCGAACAATATTGTTTTGTTGCTTTAGGGTTTATTTTTCTGTGTTTACATATTAAATTCATACAAAATTGTGTCCTGTTTTATTTTGAATCTACTTATATTTGATAAAGTAATTTATTAATACAGATTATATCTGGTAAAGTAACTGCATAGTAGGCAGGGATGCCAGTATCAAATATTCTTGCACACATTAACAGGGAACACAAAGTAATTACAGTCATGATAACAAACTAAGAGGTTTGGCAGCCAGTGTAACATCAGTGTGATCACTGGCATCATGGACTGACGAACACTGCATACAAAAGACTGCTAACAAATTCAGAGGATTATTAATCTTCCTTCCCAACTACCTCAAATGTACAGTGTCAGTGGCTTGCCTTTAATATGGGTAGAAGTTCTGGAGTTAGTAAAAACTTTCTTTTTTATATAAAAAAAGATGTAATTAGTTTTAAGAGCAAGATAGTAAAAATGGTTTAAAAAAATATTACATAAATTCCTCCATTAAATAAAAACTACAAAGAACTTCAATTCTTTTGCTGATTTTTAAAAAATTAAGTAGAAAGGTTTGTTTCATAATAAAATTTGCACATAAGTAGAGCATATTATTATATGATTTTGTCTACCACTTGCTAAGTTCTGAACCGTGCTTTATGAGGTTTTCTTCCCTTAGATCCAGGATCCCTCAAAGGACATTCCTCTGAAATTTGTTTTCATTTACATCCTATAAGTAATTCAGTGGATTTTGTTTCAGTATAACCAGGGAGAAATTTGAATTAGTAAACCTTTGGTAACTCAATCTATCTTAGTGTTTTTTCATTTTTATTTTAATTGATTTCAGAGAAAGGGAGAGGGAGAAACATGAATGAATCACGATTGCCTGCCTCCTTTACAGCCCCTACTAGGGATTCAGGCTGTAACCCGGGCATGTGCCCTGACCTAGTTCATGGGTCGACACTCAACCACCAAGCCACATGGGCAGGATACATAGTGCATTAGGGTCTTTATGTCAACTAGTTTGAAAGAGAAAAGGTTTGCTTTATTCAATTAAATTCACCAGCTTCCATTTTAGATTGAATAATAAAATAGAAACTTTATTTTTAAGATCCTTTTAAAATATGAAAAGGGGCAAAAAGTTTTAAAAACCAGTTTTACAAATGTACATACTAATAATGCTCTATAATTCCATTTTGCATTTGTATAAAATACATTATACAAAAGATTTATAGTGTTTGCATATATAATTAAATATTGCATTCAGATATTTCTATGATCTAACAGTGCAATATGCACACTTAATAGAAAAATACTAACTTCCTGAGCAACGTTGTAATTGCAAATAATGATTCCCATCACGAAGTGCCATTTAAATACATCTAAAAACTCCACCTTAACCTATAGCACTTTGACTGAATCCCTCATATTTCTAAAACTCCAGCTGTATCCTTCATATTCCCAAGTAGGTAATTTTAGAAGTAGATAAAAAGAAATAATTGTTAATTAATGAACCATTATGGTTCACCGAAAGAACTCTTCAGGCCACTGAACAGCAAGTAGAGTCCAGAAAAAGAAAAAGCTTTAGAAAACAGAGTTAATTTAACATAGCAGTCTTCTAATTCTTAATGTGTCCAGTAGACTCTCATCAAATTTCCTTAAACAGCATTCGTTAATTCAAAACAACCTTAACCATTGGTACCGACTTAAAAGAAAATCTGTCCTAAATAGATTTTTCTTCACTTGTAACTCTAATTTTTAAGTGAACCAAATCCAAGTTGTTACTTTCATATATATATATACATATATATATATTCAATATATATATATATATGTATATATATGTATATGTATACACACACATACATACACATGGTATATCTTCTGTGAAACCTCAAAGTAAATTCAAACAAGGGTTTCAACACAATTAAAATCCACAATTTTTGATTTTTACAAAGTAATCTACATTTGCTAAAGTTTTGAGGTATATTAGTACTTTTTAAAAGCTAAATTATTCTCTACTAAATGTTTAGGAATTTTTCTTTTAAAAATGACACAATTAGAATCTATAATTCTATATATAATATAGAATTATAATTCAAATTATATTCAATTAAAATATATAATTCAGGTATAATGTGTATTTTAAGGAACAGGACACTAATAAATACACAGTATATCTCACTACTTTAAAAATAACTTATCCTGGGAATCAGACCTCTCTATTTCAAAGTACCACTAACAAAAAGGAATCACTGACTTTCTGTAATTTCATCACTTGGATGTAAAAAAAAGTTCTTCAAAGGACATCTAGTCCATTCTGCCTTAAAATACTGGTATTTTCTTCCCTAAAACTTGATTCTTCAGCAGGCTTAATACAAGTGGACATTGAGCATAAATTACAAAGATCACACTCCTCCTTTCAAGATGCCCAAGGCACATTAAAATAATTTTTTACATTTTAAACTAAAAGAGTTACTCAAAGAATCTATTTGCTACAATTTCCACATTAATACTTTTTGGTCATTATCTAAGGTCCTCAAAACATGCAAAGGTTTTAATGTTTTACATCCTTGCCCTGTCTTTTTACACTTTGCTGCTGAAGATACATGAAATCCTATTTACCACATATATTTATTCACACCAGTTTGTATCAAGATTAGTTTGAAATACAAAGTGGTCAAAAGCTGAAACATTAAAATTAGGAAATAATGCCCAGAAAATGAGGTGGTATTACAGATCTTAAGGTACACACTTTATTATACATAAAACAGGCAATCCAGATTCCACCAATTCTTGTTTCTAATGAATCATTTTAGTTACATTTTTAAAAACACATACTTTAAAAAACTATATGAAATCAGTATGCAAATGTTTATCTGGCAGATCCATAGCAATTTTAAAAAGTGGCCCTGTACACTTTTGGCTTCTGTTCCCCAATTTCGTGCTCTAGTTAAAAGGGAAAAAAGATTTAAGTTGAACATTTTCTCTTTGAAAAGTTTAAGGTATC